TGTGGGTTTGTCATAAATAGCTCTTATTATTTTGAGATACCTTCCATCAATACCGAATTTATTGAGAGTTTTTAGCATGAAGGGCTGTTGAATTTTGTCAAAGGCCTTTTCTGTATCTATCGAGATAATCACGTGGTTTTTGTCTTTGGTTCTGTTTGTATGATGGATTACATTTATTGATTTGCACATCTTCAACTAGCCTTGCATCCCAGGGATGAAACCAACTTGATTGTGGTGGATAAACTTTTTGATGTGCTGCTGGATTTGGTTTGCCAGTATTTTATTGAGGATTTTTGCATCGATGTTCATCAGGGATATTGGTCTAAAATTCTCTTTTTCTGTTTGTTGTGTCTCTGCCAGGCTTTGGTGTCAGGATGATGCTGGCCTCATAAAATGAGCTGGGGAGGATTCCCTCTTTTTCTATTGATTGGAATAGTTTCAGAAGGAATGGTACCAGTTCCTCTTTGTACCTCTGGTAGAATTTGACTGTGAATCTGTCTGGTTCTGGACTTTTTTTGGTTGGTAGGCTATTAATTATTGCCTCAATTTCAGAACCTGTTATTGGTCTATTCAGGGATTCAGTGTTTTCCTGATTTAGTCTTAGGAGGGTGTATGTGCCCAGGAATTCTTCTAGATTTTCTCGTTTATTTGCATGGAGGTGTTTATAGTATTATCTGATGTTAGTTTGTATTTCTGGTAGATCTTCCTCCATCCCTTTATTTTGAGCCTATGTATGTCTCTGCACATGAGATGGGTCTCCTGAATACAGTACACTGATGGGTCTTGACTCTTTATCCAATTTGCCAGTCTGTGTCTTTTAATTGGGGCATTTAGCCCATTTACATTTAAGGTTAATATTGTTTGTGTGAATTTGATCCTGTCATTATGATATTTGCTGGTTATTTTGCCCGTTAGTTGATGCAGTTTCTTCCTAGCATTGATGGTCTTTACAATTTGGCATGTTTTTGCAGTGGCTAGTACTGATTGTTCCTTTCCATGTTTAGTGCTTCCTTCAGGAGCTCCTGTAAGGCAGGCCTGGTGGTGACAAAATCTCTCAGCATTTTCTTGTCTGTAAAGGATTTTATTTCTCCTTCACTTAGGAAGCTTAGTTTGGCTGGATATGAAATTCTGGGTTGAAAATTCTTTTCTTTAAGAATGTCCAATATTGGCCCCCATTCTATTCTGGCTTGTAGAGTTTCTGCCAAGAGATCAACTGTTAGTCTGATGGGCTTCCCTTTGTGGGTAACCCGACCTTTCTCTCTGACTGTCCTTAACATTTTTTCCTTCATTTCAACTTTGGTGAATCTGACAATTATGTGTCTTGTGGTTGCTCTTCTCAAAGAGTATCTTTGTGGCGTTCTCTGTTATTTCCTGAATTTGATTGTTGGCTTGCCTTGCTAGGTTGGGGAAGTTCTCCTGGATAATATCCTGAAGAGTGTTTTCCAACTTGGTTCCATTCTCCCCATCACTTTCAGGTATACCAATCAAACATAGATTTGGTCTTTTCACATAGTCCCATATTTCTTGGAGGCTTTGTTTGTTTCTTTTTACTCTTTTTTCTCTAAATTTCTCTTCTTGCTTCATTTCATTTATTTTATCTTCGATCACTGATACCCTTTCTTCCATTTGATCAAATTGGCTACTGAAGCTTGTGCATTCGTCACGTAGTTCTCATGCCAAGGTTTTCAGCTCCATCAGGTCATTTAAAGTCTTCTCTACACCGTTCATTCTAGTTAGCCATTCTTCTCATCTTTTTTCAAGGTTTTTAGCTTCCTTGCGATGGGTTCGAACGTCCTCCTTTAACTTGGAGAAGTTTGTTATTACCGATCTTCTGAAGCCTCCTTCTGTCAGCTCGTCAAAGTCATTCTCCGTCCAGCTTTGTTCCATTGCTGGCAAGGAGCTGCGATCCTTTGGAGAAAGAAGAAGAGGCACTCTGTGTTTTAGAGTTTTCAGCTTTTTGGCTCTGTTTTTTCCCCATCTGTATGGTTTTAGCTCCCTTTGGTCTTTGATGATGGTGACCTACAGATGGTGTTTTGGTGTGGATGTCCTTTTTGTTTATGTTGATGCTATTCCTTTTGATTGTTAGTTTTCCTTCTAACAGTCAGGACCCTCAGCTGCGTGTCTGCTGGAGTTTTCTGGAAGTCCACTCCAGACCCTGTTTGCCTGGGTATCACCAGTGGAGGCTGCAGAGCAGCAAATATTGCAGAACAGTAAATATTGCTGCCTAATCCTTCCTCTGGAAGCTTCGTCTCCAAGGGGCACCCAGCTGTATGAGGTTTCAGTCGGCCCCTACTGGGAGATGTCTCCCAGTTAGGCTACTCGGGAGTCAGGGACCCACTTGAGGAGGCAGTCTGTCTGTTCTCAGATCTCAAACTCCGTGCTGGGAGAACCACTGCTCTCTTCAAAGCTGTCATACAGGGACTTTTAAGTCTGCAGACGTTTCCGCTGCCTTTTGTTCAGCTATGCCCTGCCCCCAGAGGTGGAGTCTATAGAGGCAGGCAGGCCTCCTTGAGCTGCAGTGGGCTCCACCCAGTTGGAGCTTCCCAGGCGCTTTGTTTACCTTGTCAAAACTCAACAATGGCGGACGTCACTCCCCCAGCCTCGCTGCCACCCTGCAGTTCAATCTCAGACTGCTGTGCTAGCAGTGAGCAAGGCTCCATGGGTGTGGGACCCGCCAAGCCAGGCATGGGATTTAATCTCCTGGTGTGCCATTTGCTAAGACCGTTGGAAAAGTGCAGTATTAGGGCAAGGGTGTCCCGATTTTCCAGGTAGTGTCTGTGACGGCTTCCCTTGGCTAGGAAAGGGAATTCCCTGACCCCTGTGCCTCCCGGGTGAGGCGATGCCCCGCGTTCCTTCAGCTTACACTCCGTGGGCTGCACCCACTGTCCAACCAGTCCCAGTGAGATGAACCCAGTACCTCAGTTGGAAATGCAGAAGTCACCTGTCTTCTGTGTCACTCACGCTGGGAGCTATAGACTGGAGCTGTTCCTATTTGGCCATCTTGGAATCCTTCCCTATAATGGTGTTTAATAGCTCTGAAAGAGCTCTTGGCTTCAGTTTACCACACCAACTGAATGTAGGGATACCCAGTATCTGTGAATGAGCAATTCTTGATTCTCGTGTCTCAGCCTCCCCAGTGGCTGGGATTACAGGCGTGTGCCATCGTGCCTGTCTAATTTTTGTAGTTTTAGTAGAGATAGGGTTTCACCATGTTGGCCAGGCTGGTCTTGAACACGTGACCTTAAGTGATCCACCTGCCTTGACTTCCCAAAGTGCTGGAATTACAGGCGTGAGCCACCGTGCCTGGCCTTAATTATTTTTTATAAGAACACTTTATAAGTGATGTGTAATTATTTAAAACACAACGTAGAATCACTCTTATGCAACTTATGGTTGACGGTGAAAACTTGAGTAACTCCTATGTTTTTTTTAAAAAACAGGGTCTTGCTCTGTCACCCAGGCTGTAGTACAGTGGCACGATCATAGCTCACTGCAGCCTCAAACTCCTGGGCTCAGAAAATCCTCCCACCTCAGACTCCCAAGTAGCTAGGACTACAGATGCACGTCACCATGTCTGGCTAATTTTTAAAGAAGATTTTTTGTTTGGGAGTAGAGATTGGGTCTCACTAAGTTGCCCCGGCTGGTCTCAAACTTCTGGCCTGATATGATCCTCCCACCTTAACCTCCCAAAGCACTAGGACTATAGCCATGAGCCCCTGATCCTTTCCAGTTCCTCTATTATTTTACTTAGCTCAATTTAGCAAGATGAGGAATCTCTACACCAAGGGGAATTCTTTCTAACTCCCTTCTAAGTAATAAGGTTACCTGTGTAGGTTTGTTTGTCAGTGTCATGATGATGTCATGCCAGAACATAGGAGAGCCCATAGCAATTGGTCCAGCTATTCTGCAGGTCTTGCTTCCTGCCCACCAGAACAGTAAGAGCTTAGGACTTTAGCATTTTTTTTTCCCAAGGCTATATTGAAAAGCATCTAACCCCTTCTTTGTCATTGAGTTTACCTTGCTTTTCTCTTCTCATTGTTTAGTTCCTTATTCTTTTCAATGCTATTAACAAGTTCATTTTTTAAGGAATTGATTGATTATCTATTACACATGGCATTTTGGGTTTAAGGAATCGTATATGTAAGTTATCTCAGATTTAATAAGGTCATGAAATGGGAGAACAGGAGTAAAATATGCTCACTTAAATATAGTCCTCAACAAGTAATAATTCAAGTTAGCATTACAAAAATTTTCTTTAAATATGTATTTTTTGGTTTTAGGAACTGTTGTTGAACCACCCAAACCACCAGCTCTCTTTCTAACTGGAGCAGTGGAAACTGAAACTAATGTGGATGGTGAACAGGAGGAAATTAAAGATAGAATGGATAATTTAAAAAGTGACAACATACAAGCCTTAGAAAAATTGGGTAGGTACAAAGCATTCACTTTGCAATAACAGACTTCTTCATTTGTTAACCATTTTCTCTCTTTGTATTTAATATAATGTGAGAAATCTTATAGGCATTTTGGAGATATAAAATAGCATATTGTTAATATCAACATCTTTTTTTTGAGATGGAGTTTTTTTTTTCTTCTTTTATTTTTTATTATACTTTAAGTTCTAGGGTACAAGTGCACAACGTGCAGGTTTGTTACATATGTGTACATGTGCCATGTTGGTGTGCTGCACCCGTTAACTCGTCATTTACATTAGGTATTTCTCCTAATGCTCTCCCTCCCCGCTCCCCCCACCCCACAACAGACCCTGAGATGGAGTTTCATTCTTGTTGCCCAGGCTGGAGTACAGTGGCATGATCTCAGCTTACTGTAACCTCCACCTCCTGGGTTCAAGTGATTCTCCTGCCTCAGCCTCCCAAGTATAGCTGGGATTACAGGTGCATGCCACCACACTGGGCTAATTTTTGTATTTTTAGTAGAGATGGGGTTTCACCATATTGGCCAGGCTGGTCTTGAACTCCTGGCCTCAAATGATCTGCCCACCTGGGCCTCCCAAAGTGTTGGGATTACAGGTGTGAGCCACTGTGCCCAGCCAATATCAACATTTTAACACTGTGACAGTTGGAGACCAAGCTCTTGTTTAATTTTTCTTTACTTATGTTAAGTTTTTAATTTCATTTTAATTTTTGTAGAGATGGGGTCTCACTATGTTGTCCAGGCTGGTTTTAAACTCAAGCCATCCTCCCACCTTGGCCCCCCAGAGTGCTGAGATTATAGGTGGGAACCACCTTAGCTTATATATTATCATTGATATGTCTATATCTATAGATTATTGCTGTTTATACACATATAGCATATGTTTCTTTTTCATTATACATGTTTTTTATTATAAAAATTAATAATGTATACATTTCTATAAGTTGCATCGAATTGCCAGGCTGTTATACATTTATTCTTTAATTTTTTTTAATTGACTTGCAGCTTTGTCCTTTTACTTTGTATTTTGATACCTTAGCTATTATAGTGGACTCTACTCTCCAAGTTCATTGAGTAACAGTTGCACACAGTTCCCTGCATAAAAGTGCCTGGGAAAGCCTCGCCTGCTAAATGCTAAATGAAACTCCTTGAGTACTTAACACCATCCATGTTCCTGAGAAGTTTTGGCTTTTGGCTTTGTCTTGTCTCAGGTCAGGAAAGAATAGCCTATGATTTGGAAATTTACCTTGTTCTTTTTGACTCAAGTAGATTGCAGTTTATCTTTGCAAATCTGAGTTGAGCTCAGATTTTCAGTAAAAAGTCAGATGAAAATCGAGTACATTCTGAAATTAGATACAGTTTTAGAAATATTCTTTCCATAATAAATGTTCCTTTTTTTTATTATAATGACAAGACAAAACTTTTCGTATCATCATTATACTCACGCTAGGGATAACAATACTCCTCTATTTTAAATGCTACCTGACGTTTAAAAAACATTATTTACTAAGCTTGGCTTAACTGGGCATGCTTAATAAAATAAATGACAAAACATTCAATTTTTTTTTACTAATCAAAGTACCTAATTTTATACAATTTGCACTCAACTTTTAATGTTAGTAATAGAAACAATGAAATTATTTTACTTCTTGATACTTAAGACTTTAACTCCAAGACGTGCACTACAAGATTTGCATCATCAATGTGACGGTCTTGGCATCTTATATACTATGTTCCCATTTTAAATTAAGTCCTACTTGCTAAAATGAGAGCAAGTAAAGACAGTGAACAGATGGTTCACGAAAGAGGAATACAAAAAGCTAATAGCAACACTGACATATCAACTTCATTTGTAATGAAAGAAATACGAATTTTAAAAATGACATACCATTTTTTAGTTATATTTGCAAAAATTAAAGAGTATACCTACAATTGACCAGGAAGTATCAGTTTTAGAAATATTTCATGTGTGCTATTTGGATCAACTTCACTACATTTTTTTCTTCTTGCATATGTATAATTTTAGCTTTAGAGTAAAACCAAAATCTACTAACTGCTATGAGGTTAGCTCTCTTTTTGCCTTTGGAATAATTGTTTCAGATCATCATGTTATTCATTTTTTGATCATTTTGTGTAACCTAGGATTTATTGAGCTGCTGAAAGTATATCTCTTTTCTCTAGCACTTAGGCCTTTGTACTGTGGTTTAAAACACATGACTGTGTTTTTGTTGTACAACGGAAAGGTAAAAATATAGTCAAAAGAATTGCTGGTGAAATGTCAACATTATATTATACATATATATTAACTGTCATATGAGAGCCATGTTTTTAAGCTTAGAATTCAACAAATAAATTGCAAATTTTGTTCAAATTTGTTTACCAGATAAGAAATTACTGGAAATTTATAAGAAGAAATTTATAAGGCAAGATGTTAGAACTCTTAATGTAATTTCTTAAGGAAATACTAACAGGAATAGGCACAAAGGTGCAGAGCCCAAATGAATTTGATTTTTTGTTTTTAATAGGATCTTTGGTTAGTCATCCCCTAAATGAAATCTAGCATAGCAATTAATATAGTTATTTCACGGGTGTTCTTTTATAAATGTAGTAATTTAAGTTCTTTAGTGTTCATTAGTGTTAGTCACTGATTTTTGAGGTTAGCCTGTTTCGCTTAATGATTTGTATTATGTCATTGAACATTATATGCTTATCCAAGATGAGCTGTCCATGCTGAAGACTAAAAGAACTGATACTGCAAGTTACATTTGATTTTAGGCAGATGGTTATATCAGTTGTGATAACTGTTCTGTGACTTGTTTAATCTTAAGGCAATATTGAGACAGTTTTTCTTTAAGTTAAAAAACATAGAAGTTTGTTCATTTTCTGCTACTGCTATGGGTATAAGTTATAACTTCAGTTTTAGTACTTTGACTTTTGCCTATTAGACATTATTCATACTATGCACCATGCACTGAGCTTCTGCTTACAGTCATGTGGAGGACAGGCAAGACACTTAAAATCTGTTTTGACTGTATAAAATTATGCAACACAGACAGTATTACACTCAAGTAAGAAAGTCATAAAGATACAAATATCTTAATAACCAAGCAACAAAAGACTAGTGTGAAACCAGAGTTTCTATTGTATTAAAGCTCATGGAACTTTGACTGAATTAAACCAGACAAGCCTTTATAGCTACCCATGTGAAAAGTCTGATTGTATTGTGTTGATATGCGCTGCTGATAGGAAAGATATCTTGATAAGTTTTTACTTTTCTAGTGGGCAGCTGGAATGGAACTACTTTGAAGTGATTAACATTTAAATTAAATCCTTCTATGTCCTAATGTATTATAAAGCAAAGCCAGATGCATTTTACTTGTAAACTATAGGATGTTTACATATAAACTGTATATAATTTAAATTTCATGTATAACTCACCATGTTCTCTTTCCTTTAAAATATCCCTTAACAAAAAAAGCTCTTTCGTAATTTGGTCACAGCTGGTCTTTACATTTTATGTTAGTTTTATAAGTCACCTCTGATTTACTTTACCTAGTAGACCTAAGTTAATGCATTTTCCTTTTTATTCATTTCCCCTTTACTTACTGAAACTGGACTGTTATTGAAGAATTTAGCAGTTAAGTGTGTTTGGCTCACAGTAGTTTCAACATTCTCTCTCTCTCTCTTTTTTTTAATATCCAGAAAAAGCCCCAGACTCTCCAGAAAATGAGCTGAAATCCAGATGGGAAAACCTATTGGGTCCCGATTATGAAGTAATGGTATGTTAAAATGCTCTAATAAAAAACACGCATGTCTCATTTCACATCAAGTTTCTAACACTACAGTCCAAAGAAATGGGAGAGTCAAAGAATAGCCAGCCTGCCTTTATTTTTCCTTCCTGCCTTTCTTCCCTATTGGATTAGTCAGTTGATTTTTTCCCCCATCTTTAGCATTTTAAGCTGTAAGAATAATTAAGGACTGCACACAAACTTCCCTTAAAATTAGCAGACACTCAGTTCATGTTGAAACCATTTAAGTCGACAATAGACAGAAAACTGTTAGGAGAGAGAGAGCTTGCCTTTAAATTTATAGCCTATATCAGCTGCTTAAAATTGCTGGCATTTTTATGATTGCTTTTATGATCTGTTTGTTTTACTGTACACTGAAAGGCCTGTGGATATTAGTCCTATGTTTCACAAAGAATCTTACAGTTTTATGTGAAAAATGAAAGAATGATTATCAAATGTATTTGGAAGAACAGGAAGTAATTTAGGTTAGGTATAAGTTTATAGTACCAGTGGTCCATCAGACTTCCTTTCACCTGCTATTAGATTCATTGAGTAAGGGATTGATTACATTTCCCCATATGAATCCACATGAGGCAGAAAGTTGTGCTTAGACAAGCCTCTACAGTTTTCACTAAATGCATTAGTAAAAAAATATTCTTTTAAATTTCTACTCTCATTCACATTTTCTTACATATGTTTACTATTAGTACTTGTTGGCTGGTTGGAGATTTAAAAAATCATTTTGGTTTAGATTACCTAGCCACTGTCTGTTGTCACAAAATTTTCAGTGTCATTAGGATGAGTCAATACAATTGACACTTTCTCTTGGTAACTTTATACCTGTGTGTCAGTTTTCCCGAGCTGCTGTTTCTTTGCTTCATAGATTTCAAATATGGTTATTAGGCTATTACCTAGCAAATGGCCTTTCCTACTTATCTTAGTGGTTTGATATTCAAAGGAATTTGCTGTACCAGTATTCACAAATGGGCAGTTTTATGATGGGCTCTTTTTTTGTTAAAAAACATTTTTTTGGCCACATGGGGTAGCTCACACCTGTAATCCCAGCACTCTGGGAGGTCGAGATGGGTGGATCACTTGAGGTTGGGAGTTTGAGACCAGCTTGGCCAATAGGGTGAAACCTTGTATCTACTAAAAATACAAAAATTAGCTGGGTGTGATAGTGGGCACCTGTAATCCCAGCTACTTGGGAGGCTGAGGCAGGAGAATTGCTTAACCCAGGAGGCGGAGGTTGTGGTGAGCCGAGATTGTGCCACTGCACTGTGGCTGGGCGAAAGAGGGAGACTCCACCTCAAAACCAAAAACAAAAAACAAAAAGCAAAAAACGATTTTTTGAGAGACAGGGTCTTGCTTTGTTGCCCAGACTGGAATGCAGTGGTACAATCATAGTTCACTGCAGCTTCAACTTCCTGGGCTCAAGCGATCCTCCCACCTCAGCCTTCTGACTGACTGGGACTACAAGCATGAGCCACCACGCTCACTTAATTTTTCAATTTTTTTTTTAGAGATGGTGTCTCACTGTGTTGCCCAGTCTGATCTCGAGCTCCTAGGCTCAAGTGATCCACCCTCCTTGGCCTCCCAAAGTTCTGGGATTACAGACATGAGCCACTGCCAGCCTTCTGTTAAAATTTTATTCCCCTTATAACTAAACTTTAAAATTTCATTTATTTATTACATGGTGAGGTCATAACAGACAAATTATAAAGAGGAGACAGAATTTGAAGTTGGAAATTTAAAGTGACAGCTATCCATTAAAAGTTGTAGCATCTTGTACCAAGGAATAGTTGGCAGAAAGAAGCCAGGCATGATGGAGAGTGAATGAATGCATGTACTCCAATATTTCTTATTTCATTTTCTTCCAGAATCTGCTTATCTGAAATGCGGTACTTTCAGAAGCTGTAGTTGGGTCATTGTTTAACTTATCCCTTCCTGCCAGATGCATCATATTTTATTAACAAGTTACAGATGCAAATCATCAGTAACATACTTTTGCTTGCAAGGAATTCATTTCTGTGGATGTCCACGATTGAAGCTTAGAATAGTTTTAGGCCAGGATTAAAAGCTTTAAGTATTCCATGAGCTTTCCACCAGGGACCAGGTCTTTCTGTTTGTGTCTTTGCCAGCTATTTCTCCCGGGGAAATGGTTTGAGCTTGTTGTGGAAAGTCAGATGCTTTAGTTTTTCCAAACACATCTGACTTTACTGACCTTGCAAATTTTGTTTTGAGGCTTGAATTTGAAAGTAAAAATGGCCATATTCTTGATTTTGTCAAAAGAGTAAAATTTTTATGCATTTAGCATAATGGAGGATTATATTAAAATTTTAGGGATCATGGATTTTTAAAAATAGTATGGGGGGAGGGGGGAGGGATGGCATTGGGAGTTATACCTGATGTAAATGACGAGTTGATGGGTGCTGACGAGTTGATGGGTGCAGCACACCAACATGGCACAAGTATACATATGTAACAAACCTGCACGTTGTGCACATGTACCCTAGAACTTAAAATATAATAATAATAATTTAAAGAAAAACCCAGGCAGGACATAACCATATGGGATGATATACAAGTAATCTATAAACCTCTTTATAACCAAATGAAAACATATTTGGCATATCATTTAGGTATTTAAAAAAATAGCATATATATTTGCCCATCACCTTCTGTTCAATTTATGCAATTTAGGAAAAAAGATTGTTGTGGAGAACAACAACAAAAAAGTCAAATATACTCTGAAAAACACATTATGTGTTATAGATTTCAAAAATATAAGAAAGGTATTAGAATGTAAGTCAAATAGAGTTATCAATATATAGGTTTTACAGATATTTTCAGAAAATGTAGGAAGAAATACAGTTATGTTTTTACAAATACTGGAAATTTTTTTTTGTAAATTTAGGTTGCTACTTTGGACACACAGATTGCAGATGATGCTGAGTTACAGAAATATTCAAAGGTAAGCATTTTTTATAACAAAGTTAACAGTTTTTTTTTTTTAAGAGATAGGGTCTCACTATGTTGTCCAGGTTGGTCTCAAACTCATAGGCTCAAGTGATCCTCCTGTGTTTGCCTCCCAAAGTGTTGGGATTACAGGTGGAGCCACTGAACTCTGTCCATTTTTCATAGTTTGAAGAACTTTCTTTAAATTCCTGCTGAAGAAACTAAATTAGTGCTGTGACCTAAAGCTTCCAGAACTTAGTCTTGCATGTTTCCTGGAAATGTGATGGGTCTCACTGTTATGAAAGATGGTACCTGGGAAGAACATGGGATCCCTGTGTCAATGTCCAGAAGCCAAAACCCAGGTTTGACTCCTTTGCCCACATTAGATGTAGTATGCAGAGTAACATTGTGCAGTGTGTGTTAGCTTTTTAGATATTATAAGAAGTCCTTTAATATATGTTTCCTAAAAATCAAGACCCAGGAATACAGGCTTTAAAAAAGGCTTCAGGTTCAGATGTTCAAGGAAAGAAAAGTGGTTTATCTTCTGAGTATAGGCAGTGGTTGTTCTTGAATTTAAAACTTTTTGGTAATCTTTATTTCTATTGGCAAGGTGCCAGAAGACAACTTCTACAGTTTTTTTTTCCAGCATTTTTTGTGTCCTGTCACTAAAAATTCCCATTCTGGATAAGCAGAGGTCAGGGCAATTGAAACTTAGAGAAGTCTTGTAGGCGGCTTCCTCAACAATCGATAAGAAAGGAAAGATGTTCTTGTCTGAGTGGTTTCAGAAGTCATACTGTAATTCTGCACGGGATATAAGTGCTGAGCCCACCTTAAACTCTTCTGTCACATGCAGTTTTAACAATGTATTTTCTTTTTTTTTTTTTTTTTGAGACAAAGTTTCACCCTTGTTGCACAGGCTGGAATACAGTGGCGCGATCTTGGCTCACCGCAACCTGTGCCTCCCGGGTTCAAGCGATTCTCCTGCCTCAGCTTCCCTAGTAGCTAGGATTACAGGCGTGCACCACCACGCCCGGCTAATTTTGTATTTTTAGTAGAGATGGGATTTCTCCCTGTTGGTCAGGCTGGTCTCCAACTCCTGACCTCAGATGATCCACCCGCCTTGGCCTCCCAAAGTACTGGGATTACAGATGTGAGCCACAGCGCCCAGCTAAAAATGTATTTTCTGCATCCCATGCAGGTTTCATAAGAAGTTGAAAAGTCTTTAGGTAGTGCTGCCATTTTCTTCTTGGTTGAGTATTTGTAATCAATATTTATCTTCCATGATTTTATGCTATGTGTGCCATAATTTTATAGGTTTGAATTTTCTTTTCTTTCTTTTTTTTCACAACGGAGTCTTGCTCTGTCACCCAGGCTGGAGTGCAGTGGCGTGATCTCAGCTCACTGCAACCTCCGCCTCCCAGGTTCAAGCGATTCTCCTGCCTCTGCCTCTCGAGTAGCTGGGACTACATACATGTGCCACCATCCCCGGCTAATTTTTTTCTTTTTTAAGTAGAGATGGGGTTTCACCATGTTAGTCAGGCTGGTCTCGAACTCCTGACCTCAGGTAATCCACCTGCCTCGGCCTCCCAGAGTGCTGGGATTACAGGCATGAGCCACTGTGCCTGGCCAGGTTTGAATTTTCTGGCACTGGAGAGTCTCTCTTCTCTTCCCAGTTTACCTGCATCTTGAGTCACTTCATCGCTGTGACTGTGTTGGCCAACTGACCAAGCTTTCCTCAGATGTACAAAATCTGAGGAAAATACAAAAAGCATATGGCTCATCTTATAGTTTAATTTTAAACTATTTACAAAGTCAGATTAGATTAGAGTAGTGACTAAATATTAATTCCCTCTCAATATATTGAGAGGGATTTAATTCAAAATGAGAGTAAGAAATACAAATACAAAGACAGGCGCGGTGGCTCACGCCTATAATCCCAGCACTTTGGGAGGCTGATCACGAGGTCCGGAGTTTGAGACCAGCCTGGCCAACATAGTGAAACCCTGTCTCTAATAAAAATACAAAAATTAGCCAGACGTGGTGGCATGCACCTGTAGTCCTAGCTACTTGGTAGGCTGAGGCAGGAGAATCGCTGAACCCAAGAGGTGGAGGTTGTGGTGAGTCAAAATGGTGCCACTGCACTTCATCCTGGGCAACACAGCGAGACTCTGTCTCAAAACAAAAACAAAAACAAAAACAACATAGTGAAACCCTGTCTCAATAAAAATGCAAAAAAATTAGCTGGGCGTGGTAATGGGCGCCTGTAATCCTAGCTAGTCGGGAGGCTGAGGCAGGAGTATCGCTTGAACCCAGGAGGCAGATGTTGCAGTGAGCCAAGATTGCACCATTGCACTCCAGCCTGGGCAACAAGAGGGAAACTTCGTCTCAAAGGCAAACACCTCATCAAGCTTCATTTGTTATTAATTACTGCATTATAATGTACTGATTACATGGATTCTAGAACCAAACTGCCTCAGTTTAAATTCTGACTTATGCAGAATTTCATAGCTGTGTGATCTTAGAAAATGATCTAAAGTCCATGTCTCAGTTTTTTTATATGTAAAAAGGAAATATTAATACCTGCCTCATAGACTTATACAGAAATTAGCTATGTTATGCTTAATATTGTACCTGCCTTATAAATTTATATAGGTATTAACTATAATATGCCTAGAATAGTTGCAAGCACATAGTAGGCTCTTGTTTTTTGAGACGGAGTTTCGTTCTTGTTGCCTAGGCTGGAGTGCAATGGTGCGATCTTTCTTCCCTTCCCAGTTTACCTGCATTTTAAATCATTTCATCGTTGTGACTGTAAATCTGAGGAAAATACAAAAAGCAATATAGCTCATCTTGTAGTTTATCATCTTGGCTCACTGCAACCTCTGCCTCCCAGGTTCAAGCGATTCTCCTGCCTCAGCCTCCCAAGTAGCTGGGATTAGAGGCACCCACCACCATGCCTGGCTAATTTTTTCTATTTTTAGTAGGGATGGAGTTTCACAATGTTGGCCAAGCTGGTCTCGAACTTGTGCCCTCAGGTGAAGCCTTAGCCTCCTAAAGTGCTGGGATTACAGGTGTGAACCACTGTGCCCGGCCGGGCTCTTATTATTATTTTTCTTATTATCATATAAATCAGTGTTGCATGAAATTGCTCTTTAATTTACACTAAACTCTTATTTTCTGTTTAACTGTCTTCCAGTTTACTAAATTTCCTGTGCCTAATTGACTGCTGAAGCCCATCTATTAAGTGCTTAATTTTAGTTATTTATCTAGTATGGAATTTTCATTTTATTTCTTTTTAGATTATAATCCTCCAGCTAAATTCCCGACATAAAAAAAAAATCTAGGGTGGGCACAGTGGCTGACACCTGTAATCCCAGCACTTTGGGAGGCCAAGGCGGGTGGATCATGAGGTCGGGAGATCAAGACCATCCTGGCTAACACAGTGAAACCCTGTCTCTACTAAAAATACAAAAAATTAGCCAGGCGTGGTGGCGGGCACCTGTAGTCCCAGCTACTCGGGAGGCTGAGGCAGGAGAATGGTGTGAACCGGGGAGGTGGAGCTTGCAGTGAGCCGAGATTGCGCCACTGCACTCCAGACTGGGCAACAGAACGAGACTCTGTCTCAAAAAAAAAAAAAAAAAAAAATCTATATTTTTCATCTGTTCCTGTATTTGCCATCTTTTCCTCTAATTCTTCAGCATGTTAACCATAGCTTATAAAGACTTTAAGTGATTCCAATATCTGGATTAACTTTGGATCTGTTTCTGTCGTTTGATGTTTTGTCTTTTTGTTTGGGTATATGTTTGTTTTTGTTTGTCATGCCAAAATTTGATTAAATGTCTGACAACTATAAAAGGCTTCAGATGATATCATTAGCCTGCTAATGTGTTGACAGAGGGAGGGGAGGGAAGAGAGAGACAGAGAGAGAGAGAGAGAGAGAGAGTGAGAGAGAGTGTGTGTGGTAATACTGGTGGGTGCTCATCTTAGAGATGGGGAAGAGGTACAGTTCTGGTAAGATTCAGATTACCTCTGATTTGCTTCACTTTTAAGACACAGTCTTGGCCAGGCACAGTGGCTCACGCCTGTAACCCTGGCATTTTGGGAGGCCGAGGCAGGAAGATCACCTGAGGTCAGGAGTACAAGACCAGCCTGGGCAACATGGTAAAACCTCGTCTTTCCTACAAATACAAAAATTAGCCAGGCATGGTGGTGGGTGCCTGTAATCCCAGCTACTTGGGAGGCTGAGGCAGGAGTATCACTTGAACCTGGGAGGCGGAGGCCGCAGCGAGCCGAGATTGTGCGACTGCACTCTAGCCTGGGCAGTAGAACGAGATTCTGTCTTTAAAAAAAAAAAAAAAAAGACACAGCCTCCCACGTAATCCACGAAAGACCCTGGGGTGTTTACCAGTCCTCTTATCCTGGTGGAACCTGAACTCTAATCTTCTCTCCTTAGTAGTGTGGGCTGCTGAAATACTTGCTTTACTTTTCCAAGTTTTCCTGATTAGCTTTTCAGCCTCCTGTGCCATATTGTTTTAGAACTCAGGATATGTCCTTATAGGGAAGTCCTGCCCTGATCAAGCTCTGTTTATCACGTGGTTCAGCTTTACTTGTCTGTTCTCCCACATTAAGGCCTAAGACCCTGAATCATGTTTTATAGTGTTTTATAATAAGTAAAAGACAGCAAGGAAAAAAGGCACAAAGCACACTTTGTGTACATGTTTAAAGAGTGTGATTCTCTTTCTCTAGGCAGAAGATGTTCTTTCTCACTCTCACCCCTTAGTTCTCTGCCTCCACTCTTACTGTGTCGTCTTTCCTGATCAACCTCTATGGAATGTACATATATACACACACACACACATATAAACATATATATATATATTTGTACTCGGTAACTCTGATATAAATGGGCAGAAGGGCTTTGAGTTGAACATACTTTCAGAACCACCTTATAAAAACTCACTAGTGCATTTGGCTGTTCATTCATTCATCAAATAAATATTATATGTACTCTGTGCT